TAATATAATATATTTGAATTTTACAAATATTTTCTAAATTTTCACATTTTATTTATTTATAGATAATTATATCAAAATATTATTATATTATATTATATTATAAAAAAAAGAAAAATATTTTTAAAAGTAATTTGTATTTAAATTCTACATTTTAAGTTCTCTTTTTATATTTTAATATTAAATTATTTAATTTTCTCTCCTTATTCTCAATAATAAACATATTACAAAAAAATTATTATAAAATAATGTTATACACTTACTACTAATCATTTCATATTTTTGTCAATTTTCATCATATATTTAATGTTATATTTTAATATTTTTTTATATTCATTCAAGAAATACCAATATAACTAATTTGATGATGATTATTTTTATATATATTGTATGTTATATATTTATAATTATATTTTGTTTATTTTTTATTTATAATAGTCATATATAATAAATTATTATAGAATTAAAATAAAACAAAATTTTACTATAAAATAAAATTTCTTTATAATATATTTAGGAAAAATGGAAGGAGATAAGCAATTTGGCAAAGGAAGAGGAAGTATTTTATTAAAACTTCTAAAAGAAAAAGAAAAAGCTGAAAATGAAGGAATATTACAGGGGATATCATCTACATTAAATGCAAGTAATAATGCCAAAGAATCAAAAAACCAAACAGAATTTAATATTCAATCTGTAATTGAAATTCCATCAAGTTCTACAATAGGACGTGGAAGAGCTAGTTTATTGCAAGTATTAAAAGAAATGAAATCTAGTGAAACATTACAGCCTAAACCAATACAAACAATTAGTTCAGGTAGAGGATCTTTGCTTAGTAGACTTAAAACAACTAGGTATGTATTTTAACATTATTATATAAATATATATATATGTATATATGTATATATATATATGTAATAATATAATAAAAAACATTTGCAAAATTAAAATCATTGTTTTATTAAAAATTTTTGTCTTATTAGATATACAGAGTTCAATGTTGAAACATCCGTAAACTGAAAATTCTTGAGATAATTTCAAGATAATTTCAATATATTTGGTTGCCGACACAATACTATAGTCGCGGTTCGATTAGACTACACATAACAAAATCGTAATAAAAATTTTTGCAAAGAAAAATGTTTGAAATTAACTCAGAAATCTCCAATTTACAGATATTCCAATATTTTTGGGATTCTTTATATATAATGAGATATTGTATGAAAGCTATTAAATATTAGAATTCATTTAAATATTGTTTGAATTTGATTCATTATATTTTTCAAATATTTATCTTATATATTTATATATTTCAGTATATTTCAATATTTTCACAATAATATTTACAATATAATATTATATAATTATTAAATACATTATAAATAGCAACAGATATTGTAAAATTTAATTAATTGTAATTATTAAAACAAAATTTTAGTAAGCAAAATATTGTTTCTAATAAATTAAATTATATATTAAAAATAAGCAATAATTTTTAAATCATTATATATAATATCAAAAATATTTTTATTGTAATAAAAAGAATAAAATATTAAATAGAGTATTTATTATATTATCAATCAGTATATTATCAAGTTATGTAACTCAAATTTATTTTTCATTTAAAAAATTTTTTTTTTAAAAAATCATAAATACTAAAAAAATATATTATAAAAAAAAAAATATTTAACATGTAAATAGCAAAAGAAAATATATTTTTATAGTTTAAATGAAACAATTCCTCAACAACCGAACATTGTTAAAAATTCTTCTGATGATGCAGGAGTATTAGGTAAATTATCTGATATTACAATACAAGAAAATAAACCTAAATCTGAAGCATCACATAAACCAATGTCTCATCAAGGAACTGAGGGGGAGCCGTAAGTATCAATATATATATATGTATATGTAATTAATAATTACAATAAAATTTAAATATAGGTTAGAGAATAGTAATCAATTTTTAGAATACAATTGGGTGCTAACTATATTAACCTTAAGTTAGATCCTGCAAAAGGACTATTTAATTATGAAGTTAAATTTAATCCTGACATTGATTCAAGACCACTTCGTAGAAAACTTCTTAATCAACATGTACAAGCACTTGGACGAACAAAAGTATTTGATGGAGTAACACTTTATCTACCACAAAAATTAAAACAAGATGTAAGTAATGAAAATCAATATATATATACAAATAGAAAGGATTTCTTAAAGTTTATAAAAACATATTCTATAAAAATTTGTTAGTGATTAAGTTAAAAAATAATTGATTTCTATTATTATATAATATAATTTTTAGATAAATCTTTTTACATCTATACATCCTATGGATGAGTCAAAAGTGGAATTAAAAGTGATATATAAAAAACAACAAAGTATATCTGAGAATATTCCATTTTTTAATGTATTACTTGGTCGTGTTATGCGAGCTCTCAGTTTAGTTCGCATTGGTCAACATAGTTTTAATCCAAAAGGAATACATTCTGTACCACAACATAAGTTAGAAGTATGGCCAGGATATGTCACAGCTATCAATGAATATGATGGAGGTTTAAAATTATGCATAGACGCACGACATCGTGTCATGCGGACAGAAACAGTACGTGATATAATGTAAGATTTATTAATAATTTTATTTAAATTTTAATATTATGAAATTAATTTTTTCTTATCATAAAATACATGATGCAGGATGAAGTTTGGAGGAAAACCAAATTTTAAAGATATCATTATAAGAGAATTAATTGGATTATCAGTTTTTACAAGATATAATAATAAAACTTATCGTATTGATGATATTGCATGGGATAAAAATCCTACATACGAATTTGATAAAGGAAGTGACAAAATTTCTTTAATAAATTATTATAAATTACATTGGAATTTAGAAATAACAGATAAAGGTCAACCACTTTTAGTACATTGTGCCAAAAATAAATTATCTACTGGTGAAGTGAGTAATTTTATTTTAATGACGAAATCAACTAAACATGAAACATAAATGTCAATTACTTGCATTCTACAAATTTTAAATGCAGACACAAGAACAATTGATATTATTGGTTCCTGAATTGTGTTACTTAGCAAGTTTGAGCGACAGTATTCGTTCAGATTTTAGAGTAATGAAAGATCTTGATTCATTGACTAAAATGTCTCCCAATGCCCGATGTGATGTATTCAGACATTTTGTAGAACAAGTACGAAGTAATAGTGTACCAAGAGAAATATTATCTGAGTGGGGTTTAGAATTGGAATCTGATATAGCAGAATTTACAGGTAGAGTTTTTGGACCTGAACAAATACAATTTGCTAATGCAAAATTTATACCACCACCTGCAAAGCCTGCAGAATGGAGTTCTGCAGTATGTAGAAATACTGTTTTACGAACTGTAAGTATGTTTTTATATATTATATATCAATAGCTTATCTAATATTTAAGATATAATCATATTTTTAGCCTAATTTGAATCATTGGTGTGTTTTATATTGTCAAAAAGATACAAGATGTACACAAGAGTTTGTTGGTATGTTAAAAAATGTTGCAAAAGTTATAGGTATGAATGTTAGAGAACCACAGATGATTTGTTTAAGAGATGATAGAATTGAAACATATGTACAAGCATTAAAGAAAAATATTGACCAAACAGTTAATTTAATGGTCATTGTATTTCCTACAAATAGAACTGATAGATATTCTGCAGTAAAAAGGTAAAACATTTTATACATATATATTAAGATTTTTTCAAATTAAAAATATATTTTTTGATGTCTAGAGTGTGCTGTGTAGAAATGCCTGTACCTTCTCAAGTAATTATGTCTAGAACTATTTCTCGTGGTGATAAATTAAAGAGTATAACAGAAAAAATTGCTTTACAAATTAATTGTAAATTAGGTGGAGCACTTTGGGCATTAGCTATACCTATGGTATGCATATGGTATTTATAATTTTTTAATTTTAAAGACATATAATACTAAATTTTATTGCAATACAGGATCATTGTATGATATGTGGAATAGATGTATATCATTCAGGCGTTGGCCAATCAATGAAAGGTAGTGTAGCTGGTTTTGTAGCAAGCTTAGATAAATTATTAACATCTTGGCATAGTAAAATTTGCCTACAAGGTAAACATCAAGAGTTAGTTGATATATTGCAAATATGTTTAATTTCAGCAATAAAGGCTTACTATAGAGTAAGTAATATTCATTTATATGTATATATATGTATCTTTATTATATTTATATATTCTTATTATATTTATAAATATATATTATTAATTATATTATATTATATATATATTGTTATTCTTTTATATTGTAGCGAAATAAACGTTATCCAGATCGTATTATTGTGTACCGAGATGGAGTTGGTGATGGACAATTAGATACAGTTGCTAAATATGAAGTAAAACAATTATTAGCAACATTCAAAACTATAGAAATAAATTATCAACCAACATTAACCGTAATAGTAGTTCAGAAACGTATTAATACACGATTATTTGAAATATCTGTAAGTTTAAAAAAAAAAACTAAATATTAACAGATTATATTTTATATCTATACAAATAAAATTGTGTTTATTTAGCCTACAGGACTAAAGAATCCTCCACCAGGAACCATTGTGGATTCTCATATAACAAAACCAGCTCTCTATGATTTCTTTTTAGTTTCTCAGAATATACGTCAAGGTACAGTATCACCTACTCACTACATTGTCATTTATGACAATAAAAAGATGAAACCTGATCATATACAACGATTAACATATAAGCTCTGTCATTTATATTATAATTGGCCTGGTACTATAAAAGTACCTGCTCCTTGTCAATATGCACATAAGCTTGTTTCTCTTGTTGGTCAAAATATACAACAAGAACCACATTTATCACTTGCAGACACATTATATTATTTGTGAGGTATATATTACCTATGACTGAAACATTTTTCTATTAAATTGTTAATTAAAACTATACAATACTCAATACAAATCAAATATAATTTTGATATGATAGATCTCATATATTTTCATATGTATAGTTTCAATAATTAATAGACTAAATATTAAACTATAGATTTAAAAAGTATTATAATAATAAGAGATAAGATATAAAACTATTATTCTTTATAAAATAGTTCATTAAATCATTTTTTAAGTTTATATTAGTGTATGAAAATAGTATTGACAAAAGTATAGTAATTACTTGATAACGTATAGTAATTACTTAATAAATTTTTTACAATAATTAAATCAAAAATTATTATCTCATATTTTTTGAATTTATAATTGTAAACAGTATTATTCAAAGCTAAATTTTATTTTTAGCAATTATATTGAATTTAATTAATTTAATTTTTGCAATTTTGACAAATGTTTAAATAAGAAATATTTGAATAAAATAGTTCATGTAATGTAATCCAAGATATATTATATATCACTGTCGTAATTATTATGCATAAGATTAAAATGAAATCTTTATTTTATAATACAAAGAAATAAATATCTTATATTTTTGTTATAAATATAACTATTGTGACTAATTATTTAAATTTTATTAATATCCTTTTGAATACATTAATTATTATAAGGCTATCTTGAATAATTACTAAATAACTATATACGCGATATGAATCATAAACAAAAAATTTTAAATTTAAGCAAGTACGAACTCTAGACTTTATATATGAATATCTAATACTTAATTTCAGTAAAATAAATATTTTATTAATTTTTAATATATATATATTATCATAACATCACGAAAATACACAATTAATTTATATTTATTTTTATTTTATAGTTTCATATAAATTTAAAGTATATATAGGTTTACTTTTTCGAATTGTGTAATATTATATATCATTCTTCATTAGAAACTATACTTTATTCTTCAACACTGTATTAAAAACGATTAGTATAGACAATTAATCTAAAGGAATTTATTTATGCTTATGTATGTGTTTACAAACGACCCTGCCGATGAGGATCCAATACCCAGAACTACGCGAGCGAAATGCGTGTATCCATAGTCGTCCACCTTGACTTGAAAGTACGCATACGTGTTCATGTAAGCATACGTCTCTATATTATGACGTTCTATGTAGTGTGAGATATTAAAGAAAGCAATGGCGTAACAAAAGTGGCGTAATTTAAAACTAATATTGTCATGATATCGCATCTATTTTTTATCATATTATTATTTATCATATTTGCTATTTCATTCATTCTTCGATTCATATATATAAATTTATCACAGATAAAATAATAAATTTTTCATAAAGATATATAACCATAAAAAAAATTTTTCAAATTCATTAAAAATTCATAAACAAATTAAACAATGAAAATAGATAAATATTTATTGATATAATAATAATAAATCTAAATCGATAATTTATATTTGTTAAAAGAACATAGTGCAATTAAAACGATCTTCAGAAAAATTTACCGCAATACGGTATTTAGTTGATACGATAGTTACGCCATTGAAAGGAGACAACCGCATGTGTACGTAAATACGTACGTACGTATGTGTATTTACGGTCGTGGCGTATCGCGTATCGAGTCGCCGCCGTCGCTGCCATTCGAGCGGTTAGCGCCTGCGTACATCTTGTTTACAACTGCGGAGCTTACCATACACATGACCTTTACAAGATGGACATGAGCGCCTATTTAGCTGTCTAGGCGTGCGACGGAAAAAAGTTCAAGATACGTGCGTGTCGTTTGTGAACGTCGACGTGTACGAAAGAAACCGTGAAAGCGTGTGATCTTTAAGTTGATTATCAAAGAAAACAGTTAAACCACACGTTTGTGATCACAGTGACGCGGTATTTGTCGCTCGCACGCGGGCGGAAAGGGGAGAGAGGGATGGTGGGTACGAAAGGAGACCCGAATTTTTCACCTCAAGCAGATGTGATTGTAGTGAACAGATTTCGCGTATGTCCAATCGAAAGCTGCGTTTAGGACACATCATGCATAATGCTACAGTGTTATTCATCACATCGTGAATTCCATTTGTGTGTTTTCGCAAAGTGCTCGATATATGTATAGGGGGTGTGGGAAGAGGAGTGTGTTCTCGCATCGACCTGGAATGCTGCCGTGTTTTGATGTGCCTACTATTGCGCATGAAAAAAATTGTCCTGCCCTTGACAATAGCCTATTTACCCGAAGCAGACCGTCTTTATATCGTGCTTATTAGTGATAAGAGGGGTTCAACCACCCACCTGCGTGTGCATCGCCTGTCCCTCTCTCTTTTTCTCTACCTCTCTACATATTTCCTCTAAACGTACTCGCAACGAGCGAACGGCCACGAGTGCGCGCGCGTGCACTCTTTCGCGTGTGTGTTGTACACGTGAAAACGCCCGCGTGTGTCTGCTCTCTGTATCATCGTGTATACAAGTATTTCTTTATATGTGTCTGTGTGTGTTACGCGCCAACCATTGTGGACCACGCAATAAATTTTGCATTATTTGACGCGATAAACAGGTGCACGAATAATTCTAACTCAAAAAAGAAATTTCTTAAAGTTTTTGAATAATTCTTTAAAGAAGATATTCACAAATGCAAAATATGTAAATGGTGGCGAATACTGTTGACCTCAGATTGCGTGTAATCCGTCGCCCTAGGATATCGCCAGAGTTGCGAGTCGCGGCAAAGGAAACTAGACAAAATTGTGTGACAGGTGGAACTTAGAATCTACTAACAATTACGATCATAAAAAGCTGAATAGATAGCTTTTGAGTTTATCAAGAAATTGATACAAAGAATCTTTGATTTTCATCGACAGAATTAACCGTTTCCTAATTCTTTAACCTTGGAAAACACGGTTAGTCAATAATACACTTTTGTTTGAATTGCATCGAAAAGACAGATTCATGCGACGCTCTTAGTACATATTAAGTGCACATGCACTGTGGTGGCGTGTTATTGCTTATTTACCCCCGACACGTGCTTCCACCGTTGGCGTGCTTCAAGTACAATGATATCGACGACAACCTTTGCATGATAAAAGCAGGACAGCAGACACGTTGCGCAAAAAAATAATACAATTGTCCAACAATTTAAATACAATTTCGTAAATTTCTATCATGTTAATGAAAATAGTGATATCCATATTCTATTTATTGAAATATCTATGCCAGTGAAAAGATCATTTCTAACGGAAGTGTGTCCTTTGAACTAAATTGCTTTAACAACGTGGGTGGGAACGCGCATTCTACTACAATGAAGAATTGACATAGCATGTTTGAATGTAAAATATGTGTTATAAATTGATTATCTATAACCGTTTGTGTACCATTTAAATGGTACAATATAACGTTTACCAGAGGAATTGCAAAATTCTTCGCGACAACGGCCTTTTCGATCGTCATTGGGACGATGTCTTCGAGCAGGGGTTTAGTCTCCCCTTCAGGAGGTCCCGTTGTTCTCTGCGGTCACGTGAAGAAACTAAAGACTCAAAAGAAAAAGTACTTTGTACTGCGTGGCGAAGCACCAGGATATCCAGCATGTCTTGAATATTATGATAGTAAAAAGAAATTTGAAAATAGACAACCACCGAAACGTAGCATTTTATTGGACAGTTGCTTTAATATTAATAGACGCGTAGATACTAAACACAAACATGTTATTGCATTATATACGAAAGATGAATGCTTTTGCTTAATTCTGGAGAGTGAAAAAGAACTGGATGAATGGTTAAAAGCGATGCTTTTACTTCAGAGCGGAGATGTAGCTGATGGAGAACAACCTCGGCCTATATTTGGTAATGCGCTATTATTGTTTGAATTAGAATTAAAATGCATTGAAGACAAAATGTTTCATATATGAAAAAAATTTTTAAATTTAAAATCAAATTAAAATAAAATTGACATTTACAATAAATATATCATACAAGATAACAATAATAATGTTTAAATTTATATCTTAATCTTTCAACCAATTGTTTATCTAACATTTTACAAATATTATTATCTATTATTTATTATCTTTAATTTTATGATACAGAATAACGTAATCGAAGATTTAAATAAAAAATATACTTGTTTTTAATAAATAAAAAAGAATATTATAATTTTATTATAATTTTTTATGAATATATTTTATTAAATATTTTTTTAAACTTATTAATTATATTTTATATTAATTGAAAGAAGTTACAAAATATAAAATAAAAAATGTTTTTTA